AAAATTGTGATTAAAAGCAAAATCAATGCAAAAGATTGAAAATGGAATTCTTCATGTTAAACAGCCAAAACTAATAATTTCCTCGGTGAAAAAGGACAGCCAAATCAGCCACTGACGCAGCTGAGAATACCCCTGCTAAAAGACAGAAGACCTCTTTAAGAGATGGATTTACTAAGCAGGATAATGCTGATACTGCTAAGGAGCCAGCAAAGGAACAGAACAATGAACACTAGCCCTAAAACCAGTGAGCAAACAGAAGCTAAAAGTCTTGCAGAAAAACTCACGAGTCAGATAAAAGTAGTTACTTACATTAAATCCTGAAAAGTCGATGAACCATCTGATGATCGGACAGATGATGAAACAGTCCGAAAATGACTCTTGTTGCTCTGTGGTTCTGACAGTGAAACTGAAAGGGAATCGTCTGATGATGCGAGAAGATGATGAAAAAATCAGAATGCTAGTTGTTTGGCTGCAAACCTGAAGAAGCCATGAAAGTGACAAAAATGACTCTTGTTTGCTCTGTTTGGTAATCGAGTATCGGCCTCTTATGTCGCCAAGCGTGATGAAAGGATAACCTTTTCATTTCTAAAATGTAATCAATAAATTTGTATGATTCTTAAAACCATCATTTGAATAAATCATAAGATCTAATGAGGTGAAATGGTCTGCATCTCATGTATTAGATGAGTTAGGCTTCCCCTTTGATTCACGAAATGTGATATTAGAATATGGTGGAGTTTGTGTTCGTAGGAAAGGAGATCACCGGAGTAATAAGGACAATATCATCTTGTTGCCACGGGGATGGAGTTAAACCTAACGGGAGGCTCATACATCCAGCACCCCTCCCCCCCAAAAGGGGGCTGGTAGGACCATCCCATCCCATATCATATATTTGGAGCTCAATATGAACCCTATATATTCTCACTAAAAGGGAGAGCAAATGACCAAATCCAAGTCCTAAGTGCTCATCCAACTTGACAGATAAAGCAGAAGGTTATTATATAAAGGGAAATGGGATAAACAAGCACAATATCTGCATCTGAGGTCTGTAGAATCAAGCAGCACGTCAAGAAAGAAGAATACTTAGGCAAGCCAGTTAGTCAACTAAAATTTACAAGAACTTGTTAATCCAACACATTTACAACATGTTCTTATGATAAGAAAAGAAACCATTGGAGCTCTTAGCCAAATGCCAGGAGGTGCAATCTGCATTTGCCAAAAGAGAAAGGAAACAGCAGGAGGGAGAGACAAGACTTTGGATTAATAAGAACATAAAAAACAAACACATAGTTGAGCAAGCTATTTAACAGTCTACTTGCTGATGATCATTTTTCACTACTTACTGATACATGTTTTTATTGGATGATTTTCTAAAGCCAAAATTATACCGCAAGCATCATTATGCAACGATCTATCAGTACAACTATAGAAATATTAACTGATCTTAGCATGTTTCTGAAGTAGTAAATATGCTCATGCGTAGCATGAAAGATTGCCTTATATGAAACAGCTGATAGAGTTTCGCAAGTGAGAGAGAGAGAGAGAGAGAGAGAGAGAGAGAGAGAGAGAGAGTACATATGTGATATGTCTGTGTGTGTTAAATTGGACTAGATGAGCAGGGGAAGAGGAAGAATGTCCATGCCAGAAGTCATACTTTGTTCACCTAATCCTGAAGAAGAGCAACCACAACTAAACAGAATAAAGACAATACCTAAGGGGCAAAAGAAAATTCCCTTGCTAAGTTCGTAATAAAACTTCTTAACTTTCCCAAAATAAAATATACAAATACTTTAAACAGATGGTAGCTTTATACATCCTAGAATCAATTCAGCCTTTGTGTTTGAGAAGACGATAAATGTAACAAAACATGCCTTTATGTCACACATAATTGGCTACGGTTATCATTGGGGGTATTTCAAGCCCAGAGCAAACCACTTATCTTCACCAATAGGAAGCACAATAGTACCTGTAGGGAAGACCTCATCTGGATTCTGAATGGATTTGTACACTCCGACCCTGTTGCAAAGGAGATAACTTTTGGTTTCTACAGACTTTGTCGCACTAGAATTTGCATTCGAGCTGGTAGATGAATCGGATGGTTTCATTTCAGTTAATGATATAGTTTCTCGAGGAAAATAGCACAGTGATTCCACTAAAGAAGGTGATTTCTCATTTCATCCCTTCACCCTCCCCCCCCCCCCCCAAAAAAAAAAATTGAGGACACATTAATCTTTTCAGCCCTTATTTCTCAAATCTGTTTTCTTAAGCACTAATTTTTTACATATGAGAAAGACAGATTTCTAACTCAATATTAGAACTTGAAACCAGGAAGTTATCTTCAGGAAATATCTCATTTGACATCTAAAGTACAAGTCTTTAATTTATCTTTAGTTGTTGTCCAAGCAACGGCAAAAGCTATTTTCTTAGTCAAGCATTGTACAAGCATGCAACATAAACTTTACTGTCTAATCTGTACACCTTTTTTTTTGAGAAGGTAACATTAATCTATAGCTCTTTCTCCCTAAGTTGCTCGGACTCGGGTGCGGGCATCCGATATGGGCACGGATCCAAGTGTCGGAATCGGCATAATCTAAATTTTAAGATTCGGGAGAGCGGATCCGGGTGTGAGGATTCGGCTAAAAACATTCAAAATTATAAAAAATAGAGCTATAAAGAGAAAAAGAAAGTCATTCAAAGTCTTCCACCAACTCTCCATCTATATTGCTGCTACTGCCTACCAGAAGTCCGAAATCAGAACATGACCCCTTGAATTCTTGGTTTTTCTGAAACACAAAGCAGCAAATATGAGACAAAAGTACTACTATATTGAAGGTATGTCATGTCTTAAATCTGTTTTATTTTTAATTTTGTGAAATCAAAATCTCAATTTCCCCCCAAATTTGTCGATGGCCTCAGGTCAAAGTATCCGAAGTTAGTTGACCGAATTCGGGACATATTCCGCTCTCGTCCCATGTCGAGACGGGTGAGGCACCAAATATAAAGAGTCCGCGCAACTTAGCTTTCTCCTAAACAATAAGGTATCATCGGCGAGCATAACTATATAGTTCCAATAATCCTAGACAAAAAAGAAGCAAGATACAACAGGAGTTAAATGTGATTGAGCCAATAATTTGTTCTTAGTTGCTCATGGACTTCACATTTTAAACACTTGATATTCATGCAGAGTTGCATGCGTTAAGGAAGTATCATTGTTTTCTTGAAACTATACAAGAAGGGAACATGAGTGCATAACATACTACAGAGAGAGAGAGATTGAATTCTCCACACCCCTAATTTAAAACAAACTTCAAGTGTCAATCAAGCAACCAATTAAGAATTCTTCAATCACAAACTAATTGAAGACGCTAATTTGAATTCTCTATATCCATTCCTCTCTCCTAACAAATTCAGAGGATTCATCACAGCTAAATTATTTTATGCTGAGTATCCTTATTTTTTATTCGGACCTGGGACCTACTATGCTTTTCATATAGACAGAGTTACAAACTTCAAGAGTTAAAAAGAATGAAAAGAAAGAAGAGAAAAAATGATTTTTCTATAACAAAATTAGAACAACAACAACTATGCCTCAGTTCAAGCTAGTTGGGCAGTTATATGAATCCTCAGTATCATTTTTGCTCTCTTTAGGTCCATAATATTTCAATATTCCGTATTTAAGGATTATTTAACACTAGGGGTTCTCTAACATCCTCTAATGATTATATCACTATGACAAACTTGGAGAAAAAATATCAGACCGGACTTAACTATTTGAGATCGCAAATTAAAGAGTAAAATTCAAGGGGAAGGCTAAAACCAGAGCTTTTATGTGAAAAACGATCAAATAGATCAAAAAATGGGCATCAATACTAGTCAAACAAACACCTAAAAACATAACTTTATTTAGAGATATACTTCGTACACCAGAAGTAAAATGAAGGAAAGCAAACTTAGCAGCTTCATTATGGGTTGTGATCTGCTCCATCTTGCACGTCTTAAGGCCATAGTCGGGGTTGACCCAGAGGATGATGGTATCAAGGACTGCAAGCATTTTGTTGATTATGTCAGCAATTTCTTATGCTGATGGATTCCATCTGCAGAAGATATTCAGAGTATATGACATCCATTCGCCAAGGATTCCATTTGCAGAAGAAATTGCTGACAGGCAGTTCTTGATACCAACATCCTTTGGGTTAACCCTGACTGTGGCCTCAAGACACGCAAGTAAGCTGAAGTTAACCCCACTGTCAGCAACATGGTAGCCGCTGCTAAGCTTCTCCGCGCACAGTTGGCCAGCGCCAAGTGAGATAGTCGATCCAACGATAAGTCTTGTTTGAAATTACAAGAGCAGTTTTACTTTTATGTGCAAGAATCAGGGAGAACACTCTTCTCCAAGAAATAATATGAAGGCTTCTGAGTTCTGGTTCTTTAATCTATATGCTTTGTATGTTCTTCATAACATATTATCTTTCCTTTATATGATCCTAAAATTTAACACACCTATGTACTTGATTTTTCCCTTAAATGGGTATGTAGACTATCAATCAATCAATCAAATGCCGTGCGAGTTGAAATCAGTTGTATGAATCTTTCTTTATCCATTCTATTCTAGTGTGGTTCATTTCATTCCAATAGACAGTGACAAATTTGGGTTTCTTTGAAACTTGAGCTTTGGATAACTTAGTGTAGCAAGTAACATATCTTATTTTTCAAGTAATGAGGAGTAGCAGAAGCCAGATTTGATAAAGTATGAATAGAAGTAGAGAAATGAATTCCCTGAGAGATGAAGCTGCTGTGACAACTCAAGAATATGAAAATTTTGTGCCATCATCATAGCTACTTCAGGAAAATGACTCTCGACACTCTTCTCCTTAATCTTCCACACGATACACAATAGTAACTCAAAGGCAGATCTAAAATTTAAAGGCAATGGGGCCACCTCATATATATCCATATTTATCAAAAATTTATAGATAGAATCCGACCTCGAGACAGTAGATGCATATGCACTCAATATATATATCAGATCTGACCTCAAGAAATATCAATTATGAACATGAGAAATTACAGTTAACTTGAACGGAATTTTACTACTCTGTCCACATGAGATATTTTCAGGAAAAAAAGAAGATGAAGGTACATTCCAAATACAAAGTTCACTATTCGCAGCATGATATCAAATTCCACAATGGTACCACTGAAGAAGGTGACTTCTCAAAAGATGCAGTAACCTTTTTAGCACCAATGAACTGTTTTGGAGATTTAGTTTCCATGTAAGGTTCAGTTTTGGAGATTCCATCTTCCAAGTCCGAGGGAAACGGTTGTCTGAAATTGGAAAAGATGTCAAAAGAATGTAGAAACTAAAGAAGGGTATTAGCACTATTAGCTATATCCATTTGGCTCAAGATGTCAAAAGAAAGTAAGAAAGTAAAGAAGGGTATTAGCTATTAGCTTACGTTTTGTTAAAGCTATATAAGCAACCTTGGTGGCATTTCTTCTGCTTGTTTCTTGGACTTTGCAGTATCCCCATGAAAGACTTCTCCTTCAATTTCTACACTTGAGAAGAATGTGAGACTCGCCAATCCTGATTGTTTTATATTCAGACAAGCAAAGTTCTTCATGTTGCGCCAGTTGTTGTAGGAAACTCTTGTAATTGCTGGTACAACTCTGCAACAAAAAGAATAAAAAGGATGAAAAAGTAAGGTCAGTTATTAGCAGTATAGTAAGAGTGGCACGTGAATGACATTATCGACTCCAGCGGCCATGCCAGCACCACATTGCATTCCCTCATGGAACACAGAAAGAAACTCATGTTACTTCTCATATTAAGAGAGCAATAAAATATGATCCAGAACAAAAAGCAAAGCGGCAAAAGAATTAAAAATCAGAACAGGTGTACCTCTTAAAAAAGCTAGCTTGAAAAGCTTAAGCAATGTTCTAATTGTCATACATTAACCTTCTGCCATTCCATTGGATGCGATTTCCTTGGCCAAGGTAAAAGGAAATTACATCATATTGATAACAAGTGAAATAAGCCGAGGGTCTATCGGAAACAGCCTCTCTGCCCCTATCGGGGCAAGGGTAAGGTCTGCGTACACATTACCCTCCCCAGATCCCACTATGTGGGATTTTACTGGGTAGTTGTTGTTGCTGTTGTTGTTGATAACAAGTGAAATAAATATTCACTTCTAACTTCCCGAATGAAATTGTGGTATCATGTTAAGCAAAGAAGGATCCTTTGCTAAAACGTCTATTAGTAACTCTACAGTAGCTGCATCAAATGAGAAGTCCCTTCCACTCATTTCCTTCAAAAAAGTGTTCATTTCACTAATTTTGCCACACTTGAGATATCCTTGCACAATAACATTGTAAGTGCAATTGTTTGGCAAACAACCATTGTGCTCCATTTTTCTTAGCATATCTTTAGCTTCATCTAACAACCCTTTTAGACATAGTCCATTTATTATTGTAGTGTATGTAATCACATTGGGAAACAATCCAATCAAAGAAAGCTTCTCAAAAATAGCATAAGCTTTGTCGAACTGACCATTTTTGCACAATCCGTCAATAATAACAGTGTAAAATTCAATATCAATATCTTCTCTCTCTTTTTCCAACTCATGAAATAGCAACATAGCTTTCTCGACAAGTCCATTATGAAAATAACCACGGAGCAAAATGCGATTAGTGCATAAATCAGGTCTGAGCCCCGTAGAAAGCATATCAGCAAAGAATTTTTGCACAATGTCAGTTCTTCCAACTTCAAATAGACATTGCAAGATAGTATTGTAGGTAACAATGCAAGGTTTCAATCCATTTCGAGAAATATCATGAAACAAATGCATGGCCTCATCCAATTTCTTTTTCTTACAATATCCATTTATTAATATGTTATAGCTAAAAATGTTAGGCTCAATGCTCTTATCAATCATGGAATCAAAAATTCTCCTTGCTCTATCCATTTGACCGCGTAAGCAATATCCATCAACTATTACACTGTAGGTGACCACATTTGGCTCTACACCTTTTCCAATCATGTGTCTCACTACCTCCTCAGCATCTTCAACTTTCCCTTCTTTGCATAGTCCATCTATAACTATGTTGAAGGTGAAGACATCTGGATAAATATTCAGATTTACCATTTCTAAGAACAAATTCCTAACCTTTTCCCACTGCCCAAACTTACAGAGACCATCAATCAATGAATTATATGTGACAATGTCTGGAGGAATGCCGTTTTGTTTCATCTCGTTCAACAGGCTAATAGCAGCATCTATCATTCTATCTTTGCATAGGGCATGTATAACAATGTTGTAGATAGGTGTATCCGGCTTAATGCTTCCTTGTTCCATTACCCTAAGCAAATCAAAAGTTTTTTGAATATGTCCCATTTTGCTGAGCCCATTCATGACTGTCAAATACATGACTTCATTAGGCTCACAAATATTCTCTCTCACCAACTTTTTGAACAAGTTAACCGCATCTTTTATCTTATTTTCTGCAAAGAGTCCCCTTAATAAGGTGCTAAAGGTAATAACATCAAATGGAATGCCACTCTTCAAGTAAATGGCCAACACTGAAATTCCGCAATCAGAACAATGCATTAGGCAATAACTGTTAATGGCTATATTCAAGATGGAATCACTAATTGGGATGCCTAATTTCAGCATTTGTCGAAAAAGGGAAACAACAGCAGAGTAATGCTTCATATTTACCATAGTCTTCAATAATTTCGAGAAGCTAAAAACAGAGGGAAGAGGCTGAGTTCTGACCATTCGACGGAAAAGACTGACAGCATCATCTAAGCACTTGACATTCTCAAATTTATCCTTTGCCGAAGAAATAGATGTGTTGCTCTGAGAAGAAGAATAATATCTGATTGTAATTGCCGAACCAGAACGTGAAATAGCAAAGCATGAGAAACCATTGCAAGAGTAACGCAGCACAGAAATTCTCGCCATCTTCAATGGCTAAGGAATCTCTTCAACTTCTTTCGACAATTTGGATTTGAATAGTGAGAGTGTTGCTCTCTCTTTCTGTGCCCTAGTTTTTGCGCTAAAAATACTTTTCTTTTGTATTACAACTACTAATCCCAGTTGAAATGCTAAATTTTTAAGTATTGGATAAGCAAATTATTTTTGGCCAATCTCTTAAAAAATACTTGAGTATTAAATTATGAAAAAGGACAAAGTTCATTCTACAATTAAAATCTTTTATAGTGAGAAATGATTTTTTAGCCAAAAAAAAAAAGAAACAAATGATACTAAAAATATATATTAAAGTTTTTAATTAAAAAAAAAAAAAGGAGAAGGAAAGAGACGGTTGGAACCAAATAGGAAAATAAGACAAATGTTTTATTTATAACTAAAGATAAATGAGACTAATTAACAATGATAGTTTGTTAAATATAAATTTATGGTAAGAATATTTTTGTTTTGAAAAATTAAATTTCTGTTTATGTTCAAAAGTGCTTAGGATTGTTAGCCAAACATTTCAAATTTTTAAAAAAGTACTTTTTTTTAGGGGAAAGAATGCTTCTAGCCGCTAAAATGCTTGGCCAAACAGGCTATGTTTTCTTTGGGAGATTTGCACAAATAGGATATGTTTTAGGAAGTTGTGCAAAATTAACCTTTTTAAGTTTCATGAAAAGATTTTGGTCATGATAAATCGGTAGGACTTGGCGCTATGTTTAACCAAGGTATCCTGTTGAATAACTGTTTAACCTTGGTATCCTGTTGAATAACTTAAACCAATTGACATAATTTTGTGCTTGTTCAGTTGCTTATAACACCCACCTAATTGGCAAGACTTTGTGCAATATTTATTCTAACTATCTTGTTGAATTGTTCACAAATTCTACTGGATTGGCATTTGTTGTTGTTAATATGCTCACAAATCTTATCGGATTAGCATGATTTTGTGCTAACTGCTAACTAATTCGACCTTTCTTGTTAAATTATTCACAAATCCTCCCAGATTGGCATGATTTGTCTATGTTAATCAACAAGGTGTTCTTAGTATTTGCAATTCTAATTTCGATCAAACTATCTCAAATCTGCACCAGATAATCTTATTTGAAACAAAGCATCCAAACACCAATACAACAATCTCAGTCACTAATTTAGTCAAGTAACACCAAATTAAGAATATCAAATTTGACTTTTTTACTTTCTAAGGAGCAACAATGAAGTTTTGAAATTTTAAATCGTATCATAAGCGCTCATTAAACTCGAAAAACAAAGCAAAAAAAGTAGTAGTACATTATGAAAGGGATATCCATCAGGAAGCATAATATCTTTGTGTCTAAGGCATGTAACAATCAAAGGTGAAGTTAAGCAAGAAGAAGAATACCCTGGCATGCCATTAGCCAACTAAACATGACAAGACATTTACAACAACTAGAGCTGCATAATGCATTCACCAAAAGCGAAAGGAAACAAAGGAGGGAGACACAACACATAGATTAATAAGATCATAACAATAATCCCACGGTTGAACAGCTATTTTGTTGGATTTTCAATCCAAATGTATGCAAGCACATTATGCAGTACAAGGTAGAAAACAAAACCTGAAGTAAATCTGCTCTATCAAAACATGTATAGATTGTCTTATATGGTATCGCTAATGTGTTTCGCCAAATGAGAGAGAGATAGAAGTAAAGTTACACTAGACTAGAATAACAGTAGGAACAGGACGAATGTCCACGCCCAAAGTCATATTAAACAGAACAAAAGCAGCAACTTAAGGGGCAGAAGGATCATATTAGTAATACCACTTAACTTCCACAAACACTTTTTATGTTTCAGAAAATAAAATAGAAGTTGCTTTAGATAGATGGTTGCTACAATAATCCTTGATTCAGTTTAGCCTCTGTGTTCAAGAGGACTATAAACGTAAGTAACATGACTCTACTGTACATAATTAGCTAAACTTCTCATTGGGGAACTCCAAGCACACATCAACCCATGGGTTGATCTAACAGTGGTCGACCATATCCATCTTTTCCTTAATTCAGGAAGTGCCCAAAAAACAGCCTTCACATCGGTTCCTATATCAGTCCTGCTGCACTTCAACACCTCATCCTTGTACATTTTGATATCAAGAGTTCTGGTATTTGCTGCTGGTTGTATCGAAATATAGGGCAGCTGAGCAGCAGCTTATTAGTATGGTGTGGACTTACCAAAGCGATGCAACCAGGTAACTGACACCTGGTTGCATCATAGGGAAGATCCAGTTATTGCTTGACCCACCCTGCTTCACGAGAACCTTCTCGTTGGCCCACCAATCAGAGCCAATAGTAGCTTTATCAGGATATCCTCCATCCACATTGTCAAAGTTGAATTCCTTTGAGGATCCAAGAATGGTCGATCTTTGCTTCTGGTGCCTCTGTGAATCCTCTCCATCAGCAGAAGATCCCTCACGTATTTCGCTGGATGGCTCATTCCCGTTGCACTCCTGTCCATTTGACATTTCAGCCAGGTTTGCCTCTCGTTTAGTGTTACGCTCTACATCCTGGAGAGACATCGATCCAGTTTTCATCAACATTGTTGGCTTCTTTTCCACACACCTCACTACGTCTTCTGCAGTTATCTCGAAAGAAACTCTATGGTCGACCACTATTATCTTCACTAATAGGAAGCACAATAGTACCCATGGGGAAGACCTCATCAGGAACGGACCTGTACACTCTGACCCTGTCAAGAAGGAGGCACCTTTTAGTTTATGCAATCTTCGTCGAACTAAAATTTGCATTAGAGGTAGTAGATGAAATGGATGGTGTCATTGCATCTGATGATATTGTTTAGCTAGGCAAATGGCACAATGATCCAGGTGAAGAATGTGATTTCTCATTTACAATGAGCTCTTACACGCCCCGTGAAATTGGAGATGCATTAACCTTTTCAGCACTTATGGACTGTGGAGAGAGATGTTTAGAGTGAGCCATCTCCTCTTCATCTGCCAAAGGCATGAATACTTGATTGCATCGGAAGCATTACTAATATGCCAATCACATTAGTCGGAAACTAATACATGATGAAAACTGACCTCTGAACTTTTATTGACTAGCAGAAATGGACATTGAATCCGTGCAAGGTTCAGTTCTGAAAATTTAACCTGCCAAGTCCGAGGAAATAGTTGAATGATCACTGGTATAAAAGAATTTGCCTGAAATTGTAAGAATTGTTAATTTACGGCACAGAAGTATTTTTCGATAGTCTTCCAGCTGCACTACAATTCCATTCTTGTTAATCTCAAGACAAACAGCTATTAGCCTGAAAAGTTGCTTTAACATCAATTTGGCTCAAGAGTGAAGAAGGCAGAAGAAGAATGCTTACATTTTGTTAAAGCCATATAAGCAACCTTGGCTTCTTCTGCCTGTTTCTTGGACTGTAAAGCATCCCCATGAAAGACTTCTCCTTCAATGTCTACAACTTGACAAGAATATTAGATTCAGACAAGCAAAGTTCTTCATGTTGTGCCAGTTATTGCAGGAAATTCTTGTAACTACAAGTATTACTCTGGGCCAAAACGAATAAAGAGAACCAACAAATAAATAAAAGATAAGGTCACTTATTGAGACTACAAAATCCATAAGAGTGGCGCATGAATGACATCATCGATTGTCAACTTCCGTGCCAATTTGTAAAGTGAAAACTGAAAAGACTACCCATATTAGCTGTCTTTTAAGGTTTTTGCACATCGCCCTTAACAATGAATTAATGATACTATTAAAGTAGGGTTTGTTAGCTGTGTGGTAGTTATGTTAGTTAGTCAAGGGTATTTTAGTCTTTTTACCCATTTTACACTGGTGACTCGTGCGAGGGCAGTTGTATATAACAACCACTCTGTATTACATGCTATTTTTTAATGATTTTTCCTATAATTTAAACGATTATAATGTAAATTTATTCAATTTATAAATAGAATATCCTTTATATTATTTCTCACATTTGATCAGCCTTCCCTATGCCAAAACTGAAAGGACATACCAGCTCCCAAGGGATTATTCGGTATTCCTTCATAATATAATGCACATTAAGTATATATTTAAGTTACAATTTCTTAGTGATAAATAGATAATACTTTAGGAGTTTGTTATAAAATCTGCCTTTACTTTTAAATATTATAAATTTTTATATTACTTGCATTGAGGATATGTTTATAAGGTTCTCACAAGTTTTTATTCTCGATTGTGTAAATAGATTTTTGACATTTGATTGTTATGAATACAATTATTGATAAAAGCAAAATATTTTATTTTAATTTTTATTTTGCTCATCTTTTTTATTATTCAACATCAATGAATTATATGCTTTGTTATCATATTATATTTTTTTATTTTGAAAGTAAAACTTAGTCATTACATAGGTAAGTTCATACTTCATAGCATAGATATTAGAAAAAAGAATAATATCATGATACTAAAAAAGGTAAAAAAGAAGAAAAAACGTAAAGAGATAAATATTGATAATATAGAGGTTAAAATAGGCATTTTAAAAAGTCAGATGAGAAATAAGGGGGAGAATGATAATTGTTTAAAATAGAGAGGGAATTCAATTTTTAAAGCTATGTTTGGGAGTGCAAATGATTTTCACCCCTACACCTGCACCCTAAGTCCAACTCCAAGTCATTATGTACACACATGTATATTATATATGTTACTTATTCCAGCACACTTCATGTTCCCACCGACGTGGGACTTCCACTTCCCAATAACCAGTAAAAGATTCTCTAACATGTTGCAAAATAATCTTCTTGTGTTTGAAGCAAATACACTAAGAGAAAGGGTTTGAAGTTTGAGAAATGAAGCAGAAAAACAGCACCTTTCAGAACTTGAGCTTTTGCAAACCCAGAAATATTCATCGTGTTATAAAATATCTTGCAAATCTAACTACAGAAGAAATTAGAGATTCAATATTTCATAGACAACAAAATATCTTAAACCATGACGAAGCTACACATGGAGAATGATCATAGTTCAAAGTTCAAAATTCAAAATTAGTACAAAATAGCAAAGAGGTAGTGTCACCAACTCTAAAAGCCAGTCAAGAAGAAGCTGATACCTTTTGAAAGTGGTTGACACCTCTTTCTCTAATAATTCCAGCAATTGATTTATTTTCCCCAGTTACCAAAATCACCAAAGGCTCCAAATATACGGTTTGTCTTCTGCATTGAAGCAAACAATCAGTTATCTCAAATCCTCACCACAGAAGCAAAATTACATAAGCATGCATATATATATACAAAGATGTAAATTTACCCGCTTCACAGCATCATAACATAGTATCATCTGCTGCGCACAGCATCATCATTCAAAATGTCAGATATTGTCGTGTAGGTAAATCAAGCTCACTTGGTGCTGGCCAACTGTGCGCGGAAGAGCTTAGCAGCTGCAACCAAGTTGTTGAGGGCAGGCTTAACTTCAGTATATTTGTGCGTCTAGAAGCTATAGACAGGGTTACCCCAGAGGATGTTGGTATCAAGGACTGCAAGGATCTTGCTGATCCTGTCAGCAATTTGTTCTGTCAATGGAATCCTTGGCTAATGGATGTCGTATACGCCAGCGCAATCCCAGCACCATAATTCACTCCCTCGCGGAACACAAAAAGAAACTTCTCACCTGACCTGAAGGTCGCGATGGTGATCACGTCAACATCCATGTCGATAATTGAATGGATGATGATGTCATTGAAGTTTGATTAGCGTGGGTCTAAATCTGTCACAAACAACGGCCAGCCAAGAAGATTAGAATCTCGTAAAAGAAAGAAAAATATTACTCCCTCCCATGCTTTTATTTGCCACTTTAGTGTCACAAAAAAAATTGGCTCAAAATATTTGTCACTTTTGAAAACAAGAAGGCTTAACTATTCTTCCCAATTCCGCCCGTACTACTCCAAGAAGGCCAATAGTCATGACTGACTTGTCTAAAGAAAAGATAAGAGTAATAAAATTAAAAGTCCCTAATGATTACTGTTACTGGATAAATTTTTAAATTAGTGTACCAAAATCTTAAATGGGTACCCTTTTAGAGATGAATTCACCGAGCAGGATAATAATACCCCTGCTAAAGAGCCAGCAAAAGAAGCTAAAAGTCTTCCAGAAATATCTCCAGCGGATAAAAGTAGTTCTTACAGTGAATCTGAGAGTAATCATCAGATGATGCGACTGATGATGAAACAGCCAGATATGCTAGTGGTTTGGCTGCAAACTTGAAGAATCCAAGAAAAATGATGAAAATGACTCTTGGTGCTCTATTGGTTATTGGTACTGGGTTCTATGCCGCCAACATGATGAAGTCTGCGAACGAAGCAAAAGAAATAGGACTAGCAGCTATAGCTCAAATTTGGTTGGGATATTTGCATTTCCCTCCCAGCTACGATTGTGAATAGAATAACTAACAAAGGATCCCCTTTTCATTTCTAAAAAGTAATCAACCCATTTGTTATGAATCAAAAAACCATCTATAGAATAAATCATGCACTAATGAGGTATGCATCTCATGTGTGCTCACTAGAGGTCTTGGATCATTTGAACCCATTGTGTATAAGGCTGCATCTGCCTCTGCTTGCACGGTTGAACAGCAACTTAATAGATTACTTACTGATGATCTTTTTTTGGATTTCTAATCCAAAATATGCGCAAGCATATTCTGCAATAATCTCTCTCCAGAACAAGTGTCTAAAGATTAACTGACTTGGCATGCTTCTGAAAAGCTAAATCTGCTCAATCACAGCATGCAAAGATTGTCTCAAGTTAATCTGTTTCTCCACATGAGAGAGAGAGAGAGAGAGAGAGAGAGAGAGAGAGAGAGAGAGAGAGAGAGAGAGAGAGAGTAGTAAGTACNTTTTCGATCATGTGTCTCATTACCTTCTCAGCATCTTCAATTTTTCTTTCTTTGCATAATCCATCTATCACCATGGTCAAGGTGTGCACATCTGGATAAATATTAAGATTTATCATTTCTAAGAACAAAGTCCTAACCTTTTCCCACTTACCAAACTTACACAAACCATCAATCAACACATTATATGTGATAATTGTCGGAGGCATGCCTTTTTGTTTCATCTCTTCGAAAAGGCTAATAGCAGCATCTATCATTCTATCTTTGCATAGGGCATCTATAACAATGTTGTAGATATGTGTGTCGGGTTTAATGCTTCCTTGTTCCATTACCTTAAGTAAATCAAAAGTTTTCTGAGTATGGCCCCTTTTGCTAAGCCCATTAATGACGGTCAAATATGTGACTTCATTAGGCTCACATATATTCTCTCTCACCAACTTTTTGAGCAAGACAACTGCATCTTTGATCTTATTTTCAGCAAAGAGTCCCCTTAATAAGGTGTTAAAGGTGATAACATCAAATGGAATGCCATTCTTCAAGTAAATGGCTAACACTGAAAATCCACAGTCAGAACAATGCATTAGGCAATAATTGTTAATCGCTATATTCAAGATGGAATCACTAATTGGGATGCCTAATTTCAGCATTTCTCGAAAAAGGGAAACAACAGAAGAGTAATGCTTCATATTTACCATAGTCTTTAATAATTGGGAGAAGTCGAAAACAGAAGGAAGAGGCTGCTTTCTTACCATTCGACGGAATAGACTCACAGCTTCATCTAAACACTTGACATTCTCAAACCTGCTAGCTACCCCAATTTTACCCTTTGCCGGAATGGATGTATTGCTATGAGAAGAAGAACAATCTCTGGTTGTAAATGCCAAAACAGAACGGAAAATAGCAAAGCATGAGCTAAAGCGAATAGCATTGGAACAGTAATGCAGCAGAGGAATTCTCCTCATCTTCAATTTGGCTAAGGAATCGCGGTGTGCCCTAATTTTCCGGCCGGTGCTCTATCTATCGGGGCGTGCCCTAATTTAAAATAATTAGTTAATGCCTAAATTTATATTTGGATAATTCACTTAAGACCCCTCACAGTTTTAAGTTTTAACATATTCAAATTACAGTTTTAAGTTTTAACATATTCAAATTAAAATTTCAAGTGACAGTATCATTCCCACCGATTTTAATTTATTTTTTAAGTTAAAAAGCGAGAAAATAATTGCTCTTTTTTTTTACAGGAAATGACACAAATTACCTATTTGAGCTTAAAATATTACTCGTCTACCTATTCTTTAATCCTCTTTGACCATGCAATAATCTTTCTTTCACCAAATCTCTTATATTTCCTAATCTCTTCACCAAATCTCACCCTCCTTTTTTTTTTATTTTATCTTTTGAAAAGTGCTTAGAAGGAAGAAGATTTGACTTTAAAATTTCAGATCTGAAGAAAAAGAATTGAAATTCCAAGCGTATGAGTTTAAAATTTCATATCTGAATTTTTTGATTGTGTTTTGAAGTGTGTTGGGGGTTGTTCTTTGATTTGTAGATTGTGGTGTTAATGATAATTTTCGAAGATTTATCTTAAAAAAAAAAATTAGATACCATTGAGGACCTTGATGCTTGAAACAGATACACTGAGTTGTCGAGTTTATAGTTTTCGTAATCCGACTCTAATTGAGGTGTGCTAAATATCCTAATTGGAGGCTATGGCTAAATTTTGAGTCAATTTGATTGCGATTTTGGAGTAGATTTTTGGATTTTAGGTCAAAATTGAATTGGACTAACGAACAAGACGAATTGTATAGTTTATACCATTTTGATATATTGTATGTCATTTTGGTATACAATATATAATTCAAGAGTATACAGTTTATCGCAATAATATATTATTATACTATTAGTTACCTCTTATAGTGAAGGTTGATACCTTGTTTATTTTAAATAAATACCCTTTTAAAAAAATTATATTCCATAGCTATCTTTTGATTTTTTATAGCCAAATATCTATTTATGGTCACCTCCTTAATTGATTCAATTTCCGTTTAAAAAGAGCTGAATAGACCATGAATTGCGCTATTTACGTTACTGTATTCACAAATACATATCGTGAATACAGTTGAATACAGTCGAATACAATAATCTGTCTAGCTGTAATCCCCTATTTCACGCGTGAATACAGTCGAATACAAAAATCTGTCTAGCTGTAATCCCATATTTCACGCCTAGAAATGCTACTGTATTCATGAATACAATAGCTTAAATACATCGAATACACTCTAAAAATTATGAAAACATAGCTATAGGAAGTAATATAGTAAATGGTAGCTACAACTAGCTAATAACCACTAAAACATAGTGATTTTTGAAAGTTTCTCTATAGAATAATGTAGTATGTTGTTAGTAGAGGGGTTCATAATCGATTTATTTATTCCGTTAGCAATAAGGGTAAAGACGGGCCATTTGAGTAACGGAAGGGGTAGCCATAAGCCACTTTGCAAACCGAGGACAAATTTGCTATATTTCATATACTTTAGGGATAACTTTGGCCATTTTCCTATTTAATGAATATGCAATGGGTAGAGTCGGTTAAATAATTTGGAATAGGTATAGTCGGGTAAATTATTTGGTTGTGTATGTAATTGTCAACTTGTCCTTTTTTCTAACAAACAAAAAAGTTAAATTCACACATGTACTTGCACTAAATTCTTTTTAAAAAGTCAACTCCTTAACTGTGGAATTTCTCAAAGTTTACCCTTATAATTAATAGCATAAGTACTAAAAACACTCAGACTATTAATAAAATAGCTAAGTATAGATGTGAAGAAATCACATTGTATTTTTTGTCTTCACCACAATTACGAATACATACATATAATATATGCCATTATTCTATTAATAATTATTAACGTATAATATGGGCAATTAATTATTATTTATTATTAATAATAGGTAAATCTTTTGATTAATCATAATCATGTGTCTAATCCAAATATAGCTAATACATTCAAATATAGCTCTAACATCTTTATCTCAGCTCATATGATCATTCCACCCCAAAATCACCTTAAACTCATAGTTTAAAGTTTCAAAAATCGAGTTAGAAATTTGGATTTTGTAAAATTTGATCCTTTTATATCAATGGTTTATTGCAATTACAGTGCCCTTGTCGCGATCGTGTGCGCGGATCATATCTAGCTTCGCTGCAGTTGCCAAATACCCTTCTGCCTTCGTGGTAACGAACAGTCTTTACTACCATATTTTACTGCGATCTCGTAACGTACCGCATTCATGGTATACCTACCATAGGCATTTGCTTAATTATTGCTATCGTAACTCCAAGATTAATCTTAATTTTCTATCTAACGTCCCTAAAGCACGTCCACAACCCCCGAAATTCTAAAGTAGAAAAAAGAATAAAGTAGACTTAGAGCTCGCTTGGATTGGCTGAATTTAAGTAGCTTTTAAGAACTCGGTGCTTAAAAGCACTTTCTAAGTGCTGGAGCTTATTTTAGAAATAAGTACTTACGTGTTTGGATAGAAGTGCTGGAGCTGAAAATAAGTTGGTGATGCGTTTGGTAAAAAAGTGCTTATAGACACTGTTGATACCCAATTTTGTCCTACTTTTCTTCTGATTAATTTCCTGGGCCTCCCTAATCATTAATATTCTAATACTCTATATTTACTAATATTATAATAGTTATGGATAGTACTAATATTACTATTGGTATACTACTATTAATGTTATCGTTATTTACATTGTAACTACATATTTATTACTAATCATCACAGAGGAATCATATTTTACTCTTGTTTCAAACTAATCAAGTAAATAATATTCCGGATTCATAAATTTGGCTTTTCTTATATTCTGTAAATTCTAGTATTGTAAAATATTCGTGAAACATAATTTATATATAGTAGCAGGCCCATTTGTATTGATTCATGATTACTCTATTTGCTAAATACCAGTAAAATGGGGCATTTGTATCTATACCCGTTTTTTGTGTCACGTTTTAACTTGTGCTCGCTTTGTAAAAAAAATTGCAAGCGTACCCGCTTTTTCGCATAACTTCAGCATACGGGGCTGAAGTAGCAAAGGCAATCACGCAAAACTTCAGCATTCTAGTAGCCGGGCCTGAAGTTCAGCTCTAGAGTTTTTGTTTTGTAAGTGGCGAATGGCGAACTTCAGCTCTAGAGCTGAAGCTTTTGTTTTGTAAATGGCGAACTTCAGCTCTAGAGCTGAAGCTTTTGTTTTGTAAATGGCGAACTTCAGCTCTAGAGCTAAAGTTTTTGTTTTTGTAACTGGCGAACTTCAGCTCTTTGTTTTGTAACTCGCGAACTTCAGCTCTAGAGCTGAAGTTTTTGTTTTTGTAAGTGGCGAACTTCAGCTCTAGAGCTGAAGCTTTTGTTTTTGTAACTGGCGAACTTCAGCTCTAGAGCTGAAGTTTTTACTTTGTAACTCGCGCTCTAGAGCTGAAGTTTTTGTTTTTGTAACTGGCGAACTTCGGCTCTAGAGCTGAAGTTTTTATTTTGTAACTAGCGACTTCAACTCTAGAGCAAAGACTGGGTTAAAATCTCGTTTGTTAAAATCCCGTCCTCTCTTCTATTGGAATTAGTCGTAATTTTAAGTAGGCAACTTAATTAAGCCAGAAATTATTCTTTTACATAGTTTGACCTCGATCATCAACATACTTTGGGAAAAGAACAGTATTGGTGTCGAATGTTCTCGGAGAGGCAACGTTCGAGGAAGGCAGTGTGTACTTTATTACGAATTAAAAACAAAACATAAAGATGCACTTCACATAACAATGTGATTACTCAAAAATAGTCTGATAGTCTTTTGTTTTTGTTTTCACATAAGAATAACTGGGTTCCATAGCAGCACCAACAGCAACAGAAAAGGGGGCTGAAGTTATTTAAAAAGTGAGTACAAGTTAAATTTTTAAAAAAATGGGTATAGGTTAAATGGGGGCGACCAAATAGGACGCCTCGTGCAATTTCTCGAATTATTTTAATTATTATTATTCATATAATTTCTAGCTAGAAAGCCCAAAGAAATTATTTTGAAAAAGAAGAAAAAGTCCCTCTAACGAGCCCAAATCGGTTGACTCATAGGAGCAAACCCCAGCCCAATTAGCCTAATCCCCAATATTCTACGCCTATTCCATTCTCATCACTAGCTGCCAGCGTTGTCTTCTTCCCACACTTTCCTCTCTTGAACAAAAATCCATTCTCTCTCCAGCCATGGCAGAAGCTTGCCTTTCCAATTTGGAGTAAGCTTCTCATCTATTTTACTTTTTATCTATCCAAAATATCATGAATTTTTTTGGATCTCTCTATTTGTAACAAGGTTTGTTCAACACAAGAAGGCAAAGAACTTTTAGATTTTGATTCTCTATGGCAGAGATTTAATTTTGAAACGGCTATTTTGAGGACCAAAAATCCCAACCCGTGACTCCTCTGATTTTGGATTCGAATTTCAAATCAAAACCCTAGTTGTTTCATATAAATACCTCTCTAAGTCTCAGCCGAAAACGAAGCTTGAACTCTCAAAAAATAGTTTCATGCCACATTCCATTTTACTAAAATATCTCAAGCTTCGCAATCTGTGGGAAATCTCTCAATTTCTAGTCTCTATTTTACATTTTCAATAACTAAGGAGTAGTAGATTCGAGCCCTCAAAACCCTAGTTCACTGCCCAAAAACAGGTAATGTCGGATCCTATTTCTAATTCTCCTCTTTAGTCTAAAATATTGTCTTTTACTTAGAAAATCATGTCTTAGGCTTCTTTTTCTTTAGTTGTGCTGAAGTATGTGAGTAAAATATTGGCGTCATGTCCTTAGAAGGATTTGTTTAGGCATTCTATTTAACGTTTGGTTTAATTGTAAAGGCACATCATGCTTTAGCTTTAAAACTTTATTCTTGCCTTTAATAATCAATATGGCATATATGTTTTCTTGTTTCCTTAACGTATCAGTGTTAATGTACCTATTTTCTGTTTTTTGTATGCTAAAAGGAACATTTTACTCTAAGTTTACTCCAAAGTTTAGATACCATGTCTTAGAAAGTCAATTACTGCAATATTGTTCTATTGGACCTTCATCATATTAATATGTTACAAATGCCTTTTATTCTGTAAGGAAACATGTTTAAAATATTTACTGTCATACTAGTCAAAAGATGAGTATTCTAAAACTATGTCGAAATTCTGTTAGAGACTTGAACTTTGAATTAGAGCTTTCTTCATGTTTCATACGCCGGTAACTAAAAATGTTCTTTTCAAATTGTAACACTCTGTTTTACTGGTCTATACATTTTAGAACTCATGCGCTAGACTTTGCTTCAATGTAGAGATCTTGCTATTAGGACTTTTACCTTGAGCCTGAGTAACATAAGCTTGTTTGTTTCCTGTCTAAATTCTCTTAGTTCTGCTATAAGACATTTATTTATATTAAGGTATTTAAAGGGACTTATTGAAGTTTAGCTACCAAATTTTGGGCACTACCCGTCATATGATCAAGTTCTAAAGCATGAAATATTTGTGATTATCGAGTTGGTTATATATCATTAGGATGGATCTGTAAAATACTTTAGTTCTTTAGTTGTTCTCTAGTTTACTATTGAAGTTAGCTAATCCTTTTCTTCTCCTTGTTTTTATTCGCATGAACACCGGAGCCGAAAAGTCCCGTGTGTGTTTAGACTCGACGCCGCCGTAATACCACATGGAGTCCGGCACATCATATTTTCATCCTGCTTGATACAGAGACAAACAACAAAATTATCCCTTATGGGATGCTAGGTGATAAGCTAGTCAATTTATCCCTTTGATTCCTTTATTGTCCATTTACGTTTTCCTTTATGTTGGTGACCACTTTAAACATATACTCTCGTGTTTGGAACATTGACTGGTATGTGATATGTCGTTACTTTACTCCTGGTTAATCATACAAGTACTCATTTTCACATAGTATACAACACCTAGATATGAAGACTTTAAAAATCAGTGGCTTATCAACTATTCTACCTACTCTCCTGTTTAGCTTATTCAATGACCATACATTTTACAATGTTAGGATAATAGACAAATATTTAATTTCTGGTATAAGTGTTTGATGAATTGAGTCAAATATTTAATTTCTTTCGTTAGTTTTGGATATATTAGAAGAGGGCATGACTGTAAACAATGGTGTCTAACAAAATCTGACTTTCTTTTTTATATACTAGATTACACGTTTGATTTAAACTTGAATCCTTAATCCATTTGTGTGGAAAAGATGAAAGCATTTGGCCAACTCATTTTTCTGGTAAGATAACTTTCTTTTTGAAAAAAAAAACCAATTTTGGACCTCTAGCATTTGAAATCCTTCAGATCGTCCCTTTTCATTCGACCATTTGATTTCGCAAACGATAGTATTGTTTTAACTAATTTAATCAACTATTTTACTTATTTCAACACTTTGCCTTGATGAATTTTAGTTTGGTCGGTTAACCATTTTGATATGGATCTTAAAGGGTGCCTCACACCTTCCCCTTAAGTTAATTTGAACCCTTACCTTAGAATCTCTCATATTTAATAGACTTTAACGATAACTTTACATTACTTAGTTAAAATAGGTGTCCTAATTCACCTTTAAATAGGTGGCGACTCTTTACTTAATAATTAATTCAATAATTACTAATATGTTGTACTCTTTTTTAACCAATTTAGAATAAGGTATAACAAATACATTTTTTGTTATAAGGACTAAAATATCCTTAAAGCTGTTAACACTAAAAATGAGTTAATTACTATAAGATCTTTTATTCTAAAGTAATTCTTAATTCAATTAATTTATGTCTCAAGTCACGTTAAATAAAATTAATTAGACAAATTAAAAAAATTATTTTAGTTTAAATTACTTTATCAAGTTAGATTTTGGGTTAACCTTTAGCACAACCTAATTTACTTAGAAGTTAAGAACGGATGTCCAGCTAACATGTCAACATTGGTATTGGTGATCAAACGATTCAACTTTCAAATAAGTTTAAAGTTCATAAAAATTAAATGGAAGATAAACACATAAATAACATAGTCCTTGTTATGAAATATAACTCAAAATAACAATATGGAACAAGAAAATAAAAGCAATTTAGTAAAACATGACCAAGATGGCGATAGAGAGAAGGAAGAGATTTTCTTCTTCAATTGTGTGTATTTTCCTATCAATTACAAGGCTTTTATATAGGCATAAAAAGTGAAGCAAATATGTCATAAAATATGTCATTGAACATACAAAATATGTCATTGAATATGTCATTAAGCATTTGAGACGAAGATCATGGAAGAAGAGTAAATATCCACCATAATTTGATATTTATCATAACACTCCCCCTTAGATGTCCATAGATAATGTGCCTCGTTAAATCCTTATTAGGAAAAAACCCTATGGGAAAAAATTCTAATGAAAGAAAAAGAGTACGCATATTTAGAAATACGCCTTTTGGTTGCCTCGTTAAAAACCTTGCAAGAAAAACCCAGTGAGACAAAACCTTGTAAGGGAAAAAGAGTACAACGCATATTAACTTCCCCTGATGAGAGCATCAATTCACATCCTTGATCATTCACATCCCAATCTTGTACACTAGTTTCTTGAAGGTTGTCGTCGGTAGAGATTTGCTGAACAAATCAGCCATATTATCACTTGAACGAATCTGTTGCATATTGATATCACTGTTCTTTTGAAGATCATGTATGAAAAATAACTGTGGTGAAATGTGCTTTGCCCTAGCTCCCTTTTATGAATCCTTCGTTCAATTGGGCTATGCATGATGTTGTCACGACTCGGATTTCCCAACCTCGGGGGTCGTGATGGCGCCTACTCGTGGTAGCTAGGCAAGCCAAAAACCTTTGCAAACATTAACCTATCTCGTTTTTATACATGATTAAACAATTAAATCATCAATGAATAAGCAGTTAAAAGACAACGAAAAGTAAAATGTAGCGGAAGTCTGAACTAAATATAGAAACAACGTCTAGAAAGCCAATACAAGTCTCTACCCAGCACCTAGTGTCACAACAATACACGGATTGTCTAGGATTACTACAAATAAGAGTTTGAAATAAAGGACATAGTCTGTCTCGAATACAATGTCAACAGAACATGGAAGCTAATAGAAGAGACGCCGGGCCTGCGGACGCCAGCAAGGCTACCTCGGAGTCTCGTGGACTGAAGGTCGGCTCCCTGACTACTGCTGCACACCGTAAGCTGCTCCGACACCCGGATTTGTGCAAAAGAGCACAGAGTGTATCATCATCACAACCGACCCCATGTGATGGTAAGTGCCTAGCCTAAACCCGGCGAAGTAGTGACGAGGCTAGACCGGACTACCATATAAACATGTGTTGTTATATATACATATACAGCGGAATTGAAATACAAAGACAAGTAAACAATATAGGAGGGGAAGCATGCTGTTGGGAAATAACAATTTTAAGTAAAAGTCGTCCAGTAACGAAGGAAATAACACGACTCAGACATTAATAAGGAACAAAGATCAACAAGTGCACGACATCACCCTTCGTGCTTTTACTCTCATCCTCACCAAGCAATGATAATTAATAAAGTGTGCACGGCATCACCCTTCGTGCTTTTACTCTCTTTCCTCACATATAATCAATAGAATCGGCTCGGAATGGTACATCGTGCGGCACGACATCACCCTTCGTGCTTTACTCTCTTTCCTCACAATAAGCAAACAATGCACGGCATCACCCTTCGTGCTTTACACTCTTTCCTCACAATAAATAAACAATGCACGGCATCACCCTTCGTGTTTTAACACTCTTCCTCACCCAAACAACAATCACAAACAAGGGGCAAGGGAATAAACAAAATAATAAAAGAAATCCCAGCAAGGGAACGCAATTAAACAGTTAAATCCCGGCAAGGGTACAACATCAATAATCTCAACGTCCCGGCAAGGGAAAATAATCAATAAACAACAATATCCCGGCAAGGGAACAATTTAAGTACTCTTCCTCTTCCTTTCACTTTTATTTCATAACTCACTTTACCACTTGATCCAATGCTCCAAAGGGTTCGACCATTTCATATACGTTCACAATTGAAATATAACTTGAGCCAATGCTCCTCGTTATTCATAGGTTAAAATTTCCCTTCACAAGCTTTTCACAACAAATAGGAATCATTACCAAGGCAAGAGAAATACCACAAAATCAAGATATTCGCAAACTAAAGACTCACGGTCATGCTAGACACCAACGTATAGATACTCGTCACCATGCCTATACGTCATACTCAACAAGAAGCAATTAGCAAATAAGACTCAACTCCTAGTCCCTCAAGCTAGGGTTAGACCAAACACTTACCTCAATGCCTTGAATACAACTCAAGCCTCAATTATAGCTTTACCCCGCGATTCTACCTCCAATTAGCTCGTATCGAATCACAAATTACTTAATTACATTAATACATGCTAAATGAATCAAGCCCAATGCATAAAAATGAGTTTCCCAAGTTTTACCCAAAAAGGTCAAAAATGCCCCAGGGCCCACGTGGTCAAAACCCGAGGTTCGAACCAAAACCGGTTACCCATTCCCCCACGAACCCAAATATGTAATTTGTTTTGAAATCGGACCTCAAATTGAGTTCCAAATCCCCAATTTTTGAAAAACCTAGGTTCTACCCAAAACACCCAATTTCCCCATGAAAATCTTTGATTTGAAGTTGAAATCATGTTAGAAGATGTTGATGAGTGAAGAAAATAAGTTAGAAATCACTTACCAATCGTTTTGGAGAAGAAAGTTTGTTTGGAAAATCGCCTCTTATGTTTTGGGGTTTTGAAAAGTGTAAAATAACTGAAATTCCCATTTATTTATACCCCTCTGAAACTTCCTGTGCGGACCGCGCATAAAGTACCGTGGCCGCACAGGCCTCCTTAAAGACCTGCAGATCATAGCCCCGTGCGGACCGCACAAGGCTGACCGTGGCCGCGCAGCATCCACCGCGGACCACTAAAAGGCGACCGCGGCCGCGCTGGCCCCTCCACGGCCGCACGCGATTTCTCGTGGACCGCGCAAGAGGGTTCAGAGGCCTGCAATATTTCCTGAACCTGCAACATCTGATCTTTTAAGTCTAAGGCATCCCGGAACCTACTCGAAACTCACCCGAGCCCTCGAAACTCCAACCCAAGTATGTACACTACCTGATAAAAAAAATCCTACGAACATATTCGTGTGTCAAAATCAGTAATATAACATCATGAACATCGAATTAAGCCTCGAGATCAATGAGATTTCTCAAAATTCCTATTAAACATCAATTTCCCATTTAGGGTCCGGATCCCGTCAACGACGTCCGTTTTTAACCAAACTTACAGAAACACTTAAATCACATATAAGACCTGTACCGGGCGCTGGAACCAAAATACGGGCCCGATACCAACACCTTCTAATCAATTTTCATTTCAATTTCCTTAATAATTTCAGAAAACAATTTTACTCAAAAATTCATTTCTCGGGCTTGAGACTTCGGAATTCGATTCCGGGCATACGCCCACGTCCCATATTTTCCTACGGACCCTCCGGGACCGTCAAATCACGGGTCCGGGTCCGTTAACCCAAAATGTTGACCGAAGTCAAATTCATTCATTTTAATACCAAAATTTAGCATTTTTCACACAATTTCACATTCAAACTTTCCGGCTAGGTGCTCGGATTGCGCACGCAAATTGAGGCAATTCTAAATGAGGTTTTCAAGGCCTCGAAAGTACCGAATTCATTTAAAACAGGTGATGACCCCTTTGGGTCGTCACATTCTCCACCTCTAAAACAACCGTTCGTCCTCGAACGGACAAAAGAAAGAAGTACCTGAGTCGAGGAAAAGATTAGGGTAACGGCTTCGCATATCGGACTCGGACTCCCAGGTCGATGCCTCAGGAGGCTGACCTCTCCACTGAACACGAA